TGCGGTCTCGAAAGAAGGAGCGGGTCGCACCTAAGTCAAGGGTGAAGGTGTGTAAGGCCTGAGTCGACGTGGTACCTGAGAGAGCAGACTCACCAGCACCTGGGGCAGCAGACGCACTAGCACCTAGAGCAGCAGCCTCAATGTCCGGGTCAGGCGGAACACACAGGTAACAGTCACCCTCATTACAAGTAGACACAACATACATGGCAGCAAGAATGACATCATAATCGAGATCAAAGACAGCAACCCCTGACCTAAGCAGCTCGCCCCAGCGGGGGATCTCAGTGGCGTCAGGGAACTGGAGACGCCAAGCGTCTGTCAGACGGCCGAAGCAGCGCTGGGTGGTGTGCGGGCCACCGTACGGCTCACTAGTGCGGTCGCCGGTATGTAGGACGTAGGCACAAGGACCAGTACCCCCACCCCGCTGACGCGCAGAGTACCACTCACGAAGCTGCTGGGGGGGCGGGGTCTTACGAGCGCGCTGCTGTTGCTGGCGCTGACCACCACCAAAGCCGCCCCGCTGCGCAGAGCCACCCCGACTAGCTCCACCTCCTCCGCCACCACCTCCGCCACCGCCACCACCGCCTCCTCCTCCGCTCCCACCGCTACCGCCGCCGCCGCCTCCGCCTCCACCGCCGCCTCTGAAGCCCCCACCCCCGCCACCACTCCCACCACCACCCCCACTCCCTCCGCCTCCTCCACCGCCACCTCCACCGCCCCCGCCAGCCCCTCCAGCGCCCTTGCCCCCCTTGCCTTTGCCGGTGCGGCATCGCACGCTAGGGGCAGACGCAGCGCCGACCGACTCGGTGCTAACGAAGTCGACGGCAGCAGCAGAGGCAACAGAGGGCAAAAGGGGGGAGGGGGAGCACCTCTCAAAGACGGGGGCACGAGGGTCACCAAGAGAGACTCCTACAGCGACTGTACTCTTCTCGGCTGCCAGGAGGCGCTCCTCGAGGAGGTAAACGGTGAGTGTGGTGGGGAAAACTGAGAGGAAGTGGTCCCTGACCGAGCGAAGGGAGTTAGGGAGCCGGGTGATTATGTAGTAGAGGGTGATGTATATGGGAGGGGGGTTCTTGGCGCAGAACTCAGCAGGAAGCGCAGCCCGGTAGCGGGTTTCACTAGTGCGAAGGTGCATAACGAGGTCAGTGATAGTGGGAAAGGCGGCGAGGTCAGGAAACAGGTACGGCAGCATGAGGCGGCTAAGGGCAGCAGTGGCAGGGGAAGAGTAGCGTACAACTACAGCATCGTACAAGGTCTTAGCACTCTTGTACTGACTAAAGTGCGCGCGCTCAGTGGACGCCAAGTAACTACGCACAACAAGACGGGCAGCAGCATCGCGTGTGGCCCACTGTGAGCGAATAGTGCTGTCAGCATCGGCAGCAGGGGCAGTAGAGGCGCCAGACGTGAGATCGAACAGGGAGAGACCGTCCTTCCTATCGCACTGTAGGAAAAGTTGGAGATCATCGACCCAGACCTCAAAGTCAACAGCCCGACCCTCAGCATCAAAGACTAGAATACTAGGGGTAGCCATGACAGTAGTGGCAGCAGGCTAGGGGAAGCAGTAGCAGGCGTGGCTCGGCAGTGCTCTCATCAGGGCTGGTAGGTGGGGGCCGACAAGCGGTGGGGCAGGGCAGAGGCGCGTCGGCAGGGACAGAGCCGCGACTGCGGTGGCAGCTCCTGCTATCAGTGGCGGCGGCAGTCGCTGCTGTCGGCGGCGACGGCTGCTGCTGGTGGTGGCCGCCGCTGTTGTCGGCGGCGTCTGCTGCTGTCGGCTGCTGCTGGCGGCGGCGGCGGCTGCTGCTGGCAGCTGCTGCTGCTGGTGGCGGAGGAGCCGAGGAGGGGCCGGGAAGGGTGGCGACGGGGCCACGAAGGGCGGCGACGGGGCCGAAAAGAGGCCGCGAGGGGCCGTAAAGGGCGGCGACGGGGCTGCTAGGGGCGACGACGGGGCCGCGAAGGGCGGCGACGGGGCCGCTAGAGGTGGCGACGGGGCCGCGAAGGGCGGCGACGGGGCCGCTAGGGGCGGCAACGGGGCCACGAAGGTCGGCGACGGGGCCGCTAGAGGTGGCGACGGGGCCGCGAATGGCGGTGACGGGGCCGCTGGAGGTGGCGACGGGTCCGCGAAGGGCGGCGACGGGGCCGCTAGGGGCGGCGACGGGGCCGCAAAGGGCGGCAACGGGGCCACTAGGGGCGGCGACGGGGCCGCGAAGGGGCCGCGAGGGGCCTCAAAGGGCGGCGACGCGGCCGCGAAGGACGGCGACGGGCCCGTATCGGGCGGCGACGGGGTCGCGAAGGGCGGCGACGGGGCCGCGAAGGGTGGCGACGGGGCCGTGAGAGGGGCCTCTAGGAGGGCGCGACAGGCCGCTAAGGCCAGGGGACGCGACGAGAGGGCGGCCCACGGGGCGCGCCTCGGGCAGGGGCGACTCGCGCTCCGGTCAGAAAAAAAAAAAATCAGTGGTGGGCCCTAGGAAGCGTTCCCGCTAGGGAACCTGCTCTATAGCATGTGAAGAAATGAGGAATGAATGAACTAGCAAGCAGGTGGGTACAAGTAGGAAAACCTAAAAGTGTTGTACCCCATATTGTCTACCCCACTACAGCCTACACAGACTATAGCATATGAGTTTGACAATTTTCTTGCCCGCTGTCAGCTTGCGGACTCAATTGCACAGCCAGACGACGTCGGCAGTGCAATATTTTTTCCCACAATGGATGATGACTGCAGACGCAAAAAAAGACAACTCCTACGCTGGGTTTGCAATTATTGCTTCGGGATTGCGTCGGAGTCGTTATTACGCAAAAACGCGGAATTTTGGGGACCCTAAACTCCAGAACTCAGAATACGCAGAGCATCCGCACCGTGATGTCGGGTGTAGAGACAAGTGGCAGTCCATGGGATTGAAGGATATCAAAAAACGGTTAGCGCGGTGCGAGGGTAGTCCACATGATTGAGTTAGCAATAAAACAACAACTCATTAGAGATACAACTCGATAGGGCAATGTGAGAGGTTATAGATAGATAATATATTACCAATAAATATTCCCCACACAATATTCAGCATTAAACACAAAAGCAAGCACAATAATATACATACACACGAATGATCAAACTTTACATAGAAGTAAGGGAAAATAAATTGTGCTGCTTTAAGGAATTGTATTGCTTCCTATAAATACAACCAGTTACAAATACATATTAACGATACAAAAAATGAACTTACAGCCCATACGTCGAATCTTGGGTTATATCAACATTATCATATTTCAGTCATAAAAAATAACATGGTTATATGGCATGAAATAACAGATTACGTGCATCTCCTCAAGATATTTATAATTATGAATGTAACTGACTACGCAACCCTTCCGACGTTAAAGCCCGCGTCCCAAATTGCGGGCCGCGAGGGTCAAGTTCTTAAAACTTGACGAAGTTGAGTGTCCAAGCTTTTGAAAGTCACGCACTTGCAATTTGGGACTTCCGAAGACAGATTCACTCACCAGGGGGAAAACCGAGGGTTGGCTGGGTCTCGCGAAAAATGCTGGTGCGAGTGAGGTGCGATGTAGATACGATCCTAGACACCCATGTGTGACCCTAGACACCTAGATTTGACCCTATAAACTTGGATACAACTTCAGAGTTAAGACGCCTTTAGACGACGGCACTTAGGCACAGGCGACTTGGGAGTGGACACGAGGCAGAAAAAAAAGGAGAGTGGCTGCAGGTGATTCTTCAGTCAATCAAGGGTGACAAAGAAAAGTGACTCCAAGGTAGGCGGCAACAGGATATTTGTGAGAAGCGATGGTGCATTAGGTTATCGCAGATGAAGATACGAAGGCAGGGGTCATGGGAAGATTGGCGCAAGGGCATGGCACGGGAGGATGGAGACGAGTGGACACGCATGGCGTCGTGCGCGGATAGGATTGCCCCGGGCCGGAGAATGAGATGAGCGGCGCGAATACAGGGAAGGCACGGAGCATCGAGGGCGGGAAGGTAGCCGGGGAACGGAGTGAAAGGTGGAGGGTGAAACGAGCGGAGAAAAGGCATGCGACGGAAGGACGAGAAATTGGGGGGTGGGAACGAAATGAAGGGCTGCATCTGGCAAGGATGGGAATGAATGGAGAACGGGATAGGAATGAGGTACGCAGGAAATGGGGGGTGTGAATGCGCGGCGCACATATAAGGTGGGAGAGGGTGAATGAACGGCGGATAGGACTGGGATGGATGGGTGTGGACGGCGATAGGGCAGGGGGGGCGGGAATGTGAGGCAGAAGGATGAGGGGTGAATTCAAGCGGGGGGGTTGGGGGGAGGTTGGGGTGTGAGGCCAAAGGATGGGAATTGAGGGGGAAAAGGAATGCTTACCCTTTGTTAGCCCCCTGATTGAATGCTGTTTGCCCTTTGCCTGTCATCCGTTTCCCTTTTTTCCTTCTCTTCTTACCCATTTCCCCCCTGTTTCCCCTCTGCTTACCCTTCCTCCCCTGCTTACCCTCTCTTCCCCCCCTTTCATGCCTCGTCTCCCATGTGAGTTTTCTCTGTTCGGCCCCTGATTGTCTCTCACTCCCCCGTTCGTCTTTCCTGCTTGCCTAAACCCCCTACCCCTGCGCGCCACGCGTTAGCAACAGCCGCGGGTAAAGATTGCAGCAAGTGACGCTCAGCTGCCAGCTGCCCGTCTCTGCTGCATCGTGGGCATCAGCAGCAAGTGCATGCGAAAAAACGCAACTTTCAAGTGGAAAAAGCGGCTCTGAAAGTTGATTTAAAAACCGGACGGGTTGTGTCGGCTAAAGCTCTGTTGGGAACAGATGGGCTGCAAGGGGAAGCAGTGAATGCAGGGGGGGGGTGTAGGCAAGTGTGCAGAGCAGGTTAGGAGTTGAGTGGTGAGGGAGGGCACGTGGGTTGTAGAAGAGGCGTTTGGGAGCGCGTGGGTTGTCTGAGAGGCGTTTGGGAGCGCGTGGGTTGTCTGAGAGGCGTTTGGGAGCGCGTGGGTTGCCTGAGAGGCGTGTGGGTGGCATGAGGCGGCGGCCGGGAGTAGCGGGGCTGCAGACGGCAGCAGCAGTGAGGGGGCAGTACCGGTCGCTGGGGGAGGATGTGGCGAAGCAGCGCCAGGAGTCGCTGCGGCAGCAGCTTGAAACATTTAGAGGCTTCCTCATGGACTTTGCTCAGAAGCACAAGGTGCGTGGTGTGGTGCCAGGTGGTGCCTGCCCTGCCCTGCCCTGTGTGCTGCATAACTCACTTCTTCCGAACCACAATGGTGCACTGTGTTGTTGAGAACACAATCTGTTGCCATTGCCACCACATGCTCCGCTCTGCTCCCACCCACGCCACCCCACCTCCCGCCCCCCCCCATGCCAGAGTGACATCAGCAGAAACCCGGCGTTCAGGGCGCAGTTCCACGCCATGTTTGCGCAGTGCGGAGTGGACCCCCTCGCCATATTCCTCTCTCCCCTCTCCCCATGTTCCGCTCTGCCCCCCATCCTCCCCTCGTGCCAGAGCGATATCCGCAGCAACCCAGCATTCAGGGCGCAGTTCCACGCCATGTGTGCGCAGTGCGGGGTGGACCCCCTGGCCTCCAACAAGGGCTTCTGGAACGAGCTGCTGGGCTTCGGTGACTTCTATTATGAACTCGGTGAGGCGATTCTTGAGTCTACTAAAAACCCGCTTGCCTAAAAAACCCCCCCGCCTCCAACCCCCCCCCCCCCCCCCCCCCCCCCCCCCCCGCCTCAATAACCCGCTTGCTTTTTAAGCCCACTTGTTCCATGGCGTGTGCCCCTCCCCCTTCCCCCTCCCCCTTCCCATTCCCTTTACCTTCCCCCAGAAGGGCGCACAGCTGGTAGAGACGTGCATGGCAACGAGGGTGGACAAACAGGGGGCTGCTGCTGCCATGCCATGCACTGCCATGCCATGCCATGCCATGCCATGCCATGCCATGCCATTGTCCATGCTATCCCTTGACGCCCGCCCTCCCCTCTCCCTCTCGCCCTCCCCCTCCCCAATCCCCTTTTCCTCCCCTCCCAGGAGTGCAGCTGATAGAGACGTGCATGGCAACGAGGGCGGACAACGGCGGGCTGATCAATCTGGAGGAGCTGCGGCGCCTCGTGGCGGGCAAGCGCCGCATGCCGCTGGACGCGCTCTCCCATGACGACTGCATGCGCGCCCTCGCCACCATCAAGGTTTGTGTGACGCCTTTTGAGTCGCCTCAATACTCGTCTACTTACATGCGGATTCTATATCGGTAGTGCGCCGCATGCCTCTGGATGTGCTCTCCCATGACGACTGCATGCGCGCCCTCGCCACCATCAAGGTGTGATGGGTCCCAGCGCACCTCAAGTGTTTCGAGTGGAAATTGGCATAGTTACATAGGTCAGCTTGCGCAACTCCTGTGTTTTCATCTGGCCGCAACCATCACCCTCATTCCTGTAATTCAAACCATTCCACCGCTGCCCTTGTCATCCTTCCTTGTCCTCCCAATGGCTGTCATCGGCAGTCCCTAGGACGAGGGTTTGCGGTGGAGACAGAGAGAGTGGGGGCGGCACACATGGTGCCCCTCTCCTACCTCAACCCCTCCTCCTGCACCACAAGCCCTTGTGCCTCCTCCCTCATCTCCCTTGTTGTCGACAGTCCCTAGGAGGGGGTTTAGCGGTGGAGAGAGTGGGTGCAGCACACGTGGTTTACTCTTTAAAACCTCTCAAAGACCCTCCATCGTCGTCCCAACCTATTGCCGTCATCGGCAGTCCCTAGGAGGAGGGCTTGCGGTGGAGAAGGTGGGGGCGACTCACGTGGTGTCGCTCTCTTGCCCGTGCCCCTCCTCCTGCACCTCAACCCGCCGCGTCCTCTCCCTTGTCTCCCTTTGTCATCGGCAGTCCCTAGGAGGAGGGTTTGCGGTGGAGAAGGTGGGGGCGACACACGTGGTGTCACTCTCTTGCCCGTGCCCCTCCTCCTGCACCTCAACCCGCCACGTCCTCTCCCTTGTCTCCCTTTGTCATGGGCAGTCCCTAGGAGGAGGGTTTGCAGTGGAGAAGGTGGGGGCGACACATGTGGTGCGCTCGCTGCCTCGGGAGCTCAGCACTGACCAGAACGACATCCTCCGCCTTGCGCAGGTGACATGGCAGGTGATGTGGCACAGGTGACGTGGCACAGGTGACGTGGCACAGGTGACGTGGCACAGGTGATGTGGCACAGGTGATGTGGCACAGGTGACGTGGCACATGTGATGTGGCACAGGTGATGTGGCACAGGTGACATGGTGCAGGTGATGTGGCGTAGGTGACGTGGCACAGGTGAATTGGCCTTGAAGCAGTTGTTCTTACTCGGATGAATGAGCTCAGGTGAATTGGTGTGGTGAACTGAGTCAGAGCTAGCTCCTTAAATGTGGTTGTTGTTGACCAGCTGAGTTGTGAGCTGTCGAGTTGCTGCATTGCTGTGTTGTTGAGTTCGAGTTTTTGACTTCTTGAATTGCTGCGTTGTTGTGTTGAGTTGTGTTGTTCGGTCATTGAGCGGATTGCGGTTCTGAAGATTACTTACTTCCTTTTGCGTGCCTACCTGCCTCCCTTTCCTCCATGTGACAGGCGTGTGGGTGTGTGACCATTGCAGACATTCTCTCTGCCACGTCGTGGCAGCACGGCCGAATCAACGATGCTCTTGATGCCCTGCTCAAGGTGACGCGCTGCATTCTGTGAATGACTTCATTCGGCATTTCCCTCTTTCCTTCTCCCTCGTTTTCTTAGCCGCTTCCCCTGCCCATTCTTCCCATTCTCTTCTCATGCGTCCCCCTGCCCCCTCCTCCCCCTCCTTCCCTCCCTCCCTCCCTCCCTCCCTCCCTCCCTCCCTCCCTCCCTCCCTCCCTCCCTCCCTCCCTCCCTCCCTTAATCCAGGAGAGCATAGCCATGGTGGACTATGGCAATCCCGATAGTCAGCGAGTTGATTTTTGAGTCGACTAAAAAATAAACTCATCACCCCCCCCAACGCCCCCTTTCTCCTCCCCCCGCCACCTCCCTCCCCCCCCCCCGTCCTCCTTTCTACCCCTTTCCAGGAAGGCATAGCGATGGTGGATGATGGCGATCCCGATGGTCAACGGCGCTACTGGTTTCCATGCTTTGACATCGCCGCACCGACATCTCTGTAAACTCAACGGGGCTTGCGCTTGGTTTCCCAGGCTTGCGTACCAACTGGGAGCGGAGGTCCTTGTCTGTACAGTTCACCGAATACCATGGTGTGACTAATTCCGTGTGATCTGCATGGGATACTTCTGAAAGGAGATACCGCTTACGTGATATGTTTATTAATAGCGTACAGTGTTTTGAAAATCCTGGCTTTTAGTCCACCCTGAAGCCAAAGATAACACGCTTCATAACATTTGTTGTGAAATACATCTGTAAAAGTTAAGGTCGAACAGAGTTTCCGATTCGATACAAACAGAGTGGACGAGTGCAATGGATCAAGCTGTCACATTCGCCTGATGCTTCGCACACAATTGTTGAACTTGCAGCGTGGCAGTGTCATCGACGCAGGAGCTGCCATCGTGCAATTGGGATTGGTGAGGTCGCATCATCACCGACATTCTGGTTTCACTTTCTTGCTGGCGACGAGAACCACAAGGGGGTGATGAGGGGGCAAGCTGAAGCAACCAATTGCTGGCGAGATTCGCGTCGTTTTCGCCGTCAACTCACTTTTCTCCTGTCGCCTCGACCCCCCTCGTCAAAAAGTTGTGCCGACGGACGACGAACCGAAATGTCGAAGAAACTTTGAGCGTCGTGCAAGGAAAACGCCAGCCTGTGCGACTCTGGCCAGGGATGATGGAAAGGGGGGTCCCGTCCGTGGAAGAGAGAGGTTCATGGCTCACAGGTAGGTGTTGCTGAGGATGACAACTCATCATGTGTCACTCAACGAAATGGATGAATGCAATTAGTTTCCTTTCGGTCTCGCTAGGTTATAATGGGTTGAATAGGAGAGCGGGGCTGGGAAGAAGAAGGGACAAGCAGACGAAGGAGCAATATGCGTGGAATGTGAGACGCGGCTTGACTGTCGCCGAGAAAAGTCCGTGGCGAGAAAGGCGACGCGGTCGAGGGGGGACCCTTGGGTTGGGGGGAGCTCTCATACATAAAGCATGATGCTCGTTGACTTGTGAGCACATTCAACAGCGACAGCAGCGCTAGCTCACTTGCTCTTAGCCTTGAATAGCAAATTGACTTGCTGTGAGTTGACGACTAGAAGAAGCACGCACGGTCTAAACCATCCTCTCAATTTAGCCCCAATCTTCTCGAAAGGCTCAATCAGCATTTTTTCGTCTTCCTATCCCTCTCATCGCCTAGGTTCCTAAAGCATCCTACTATACTTAATCCATCTTTTGCTGGCCAGATTCTTTTCCAATCTGTCTAGCTACTTGTGCGAGCATGGGTCTCTTTAGCGGGTTCGTATCGAGGTCCTCAGGCTACCATCCAGCGTCCATTCTCGAGCACGAGTTCGATTTCTCGGGCGCCATAGGCCAGGGGCAGTTCGGCACGGTGTGGCGCTGCTCGTCACGCGCGACGAACCAATCCTTCGCATGCAAGCAGATCCACAAGTCGCAGTTCTTGTCGCACGGCGACCAGATGCGACAGGTGTCGCGCGAAATCGAGGCGATGCAGAGGTTACAGGGCCACGCGAACGTCGTCGACCTTCACAGCGTCTACGAAAACGACGCCTTTATTTTCCTCCTCATGGAACTTTGCCCCGACGGCGACCTCTTTAAACTCATCTCCGAGCAAAACGGGCTGCCGGAGACCGAGGCGCGCTACATCTTTAAGAGGGTCGCTCTCGCCGTGCAGCACTGCCATCGCAACGGAATCGTCCATCGTGACATCAAGCCCGAAAACATCCTCCTCCACGATCCGTCCCCCCCATCCGATGAGTCATCCAACGCCCATTCATCCCTGGACGGGCCAATTTGCCCTCTTCCGCACGCTCACGACGCCGGTTCTTCCGCAGCGCTCGCCTGTGGCTGCGCGCCAAGCCGCGAGTGGGGAGTGAAGCTCGCCGACTTCGGCCTCTCGAGACGTCTCGAGCAGGGTTCCCGCGTGCGAGGCCGCGTCGGAAGCTACCCGTACGAGGCTCCCGAGGTGGTCGCATCTGAGCCGTACGATTGGTCTGCTGACGTGTGGAGTCTCGGGGTGTTGCTGTACACTATGCTTGCTGCTAGCTGGCCAGAATTCAAGGACGGACGACGTGCGCTGAATGAGGACGTAGATTGGTCGAGCCCGAGTTGGCGATTGGTCAGCGACGTGGCCAAGAATCTGATTCGCCGCTTGCTGACTGTGACGCCCTGCGAGCGACCCACGATCGACGAGGTCCTGTGCGACGCGTGGCTGAGCGACGAGTCGTGCGTGAACGTGCTCTGCCCCGCGGCGTGCGACGGTTTGCTTGAGAAAACCGCACAGAATACATGCGACGACCGGAAGGACGTCGCACAACAGTGCTTGAAGGAATTTTTGGCGGTTCGCTCAAGCCCGTCGTTGTCCACGTGGCTTTCAGCCAGTCTGACGTCAGCGCCGTCACTGTCATTGTCTCTATCCTCCTCCTCCGCTTCTTCAAGCAAGCATGTTCCGTTCTGTGAGAGCCTCAGCAGCGATAGCAGCAGCAGCAGCAGCAGTGACGGAAGTAGCAGCGAGAGCAACGGAAACACTGGCAGTGGGAAGGGGCCGCACAATGTGCGTCAAGGTTGGGGTAAGGCAGCTGAATGGGGATTCGGTGCGCAAAGCAGCAGCAGCGACGGCGAGGAGCAAGTTGAGTTGAACCCACAAGCGCAGGAGGAGGCGGTGAGGAGAAGAGAATGCTGCGAGCAGGGAGAAAGTACATGCTGCGAGTGCAGTGGCAGTGGTAGTGGTGGAAGGGACAGTGGCAGCACCTCTGATTGGTGGCAGAGGTCCAGGTTGGCTGCTGTGGCGGCATGGGCTGTGAAGAACGTTTGGGGAACCGCACCTGCTGTTGCGTGCTAGGTAGCGGGTGTTGCCTGTGTTCTGCATCAGCTTCGCAGTTTTGGCTCACCTGCATACCCAATAACGGCTGCATCCTTCAGGGACAGAGAGAACACTGATCTGCTAGCGGCCTGTCAGTGGAAATGCTGCAACTTTAGGCCCATGGGTTTGGGGCTCTTGTATAGCTTCAATGCATATAGTTCTGCACCTAGAGCAGACAGAGCAGCCAGTCTCAGAACTGTGCACTCTTGCAGTGGCAGTTCTGAGACTTACTGCTGCACACCAATGTAGTTTTTGTGCTCAGCCATGTGTATTATACGGTAGTTGAAAACTGTAGAGTTAATTTAATCTATTTATTAGTTTGTTTTGGGGTGCATCCCAGGACAACCATGTCTGCAGAAATCAACCTCTCGCTCTTCTCTCTGTCGCATCAAATTGCCCCTTTCTGACAAGATATCCCTGGTTCATGTTGCACTCCACCTTGAATGAAACACATGAGTTGCACTGGGTAGCAATCAATCAGTGCAGCCTCGAAATACCTGCTCACTCTTGCACGGACAAAAAGAGTGGAATGACGCTCTGACCATTGGGAAACGATCGGCTGCTCAGCCCGCTCTCGGCTGTCGCACATCCCAAACGAAATCAGCACCCTCTTCAAAGCTCCCACGTCTAAATTAGTAAATGACAGACACGCCATGGCGTCAAATGCCGCCGAAGTTACTAAGTCCGTCGAAGCATTCAGGTTTTTGCTAACCTACCTTACCCGGCGTGAAGAAAGACAGGGTTGGAGTTTTAATGGAGGAAGGCACGAACCTTCAGCATCGAGCGGTCCCGTAAAGCTAAACAAAGACACGGAGAATTACCGCGTGGAGCGGAGCACTGAGAAGTTTCTAAACCGCTTCTGCCTTCTGACAACGTGGTAGTGGATACGAGCGCTGCATCCTCTGAGACTGGCGTGCTCGCCGTGATGAATTCCTAGTTCAAGCTATTAGATTTGAAAAGGCAGCTGTGGTAGATACTCACTGAATAGTTACGTGATACGGCACGACTTTGCTATCTTTGTTGGTGCTAGTTTGGTAGTATCCTGTCGCAAGACAGGGTTCAGTGCTCCGGGGCCTGAGTACTGGGGCGCTACATCGGTAGTACGAATAAGGCGTAATCGTTCGCCATAAATATTTCATGTCACACAGTTCCTGGGTCATCGGCATCTGAGTGTACAATTGACCAGCCAACATGATCTTCCGCCCATCTCCTGACACGCCTCGATCCTGGATCCTGGGAACATCATGACTGGTGGAATCACGAAATCAGGGCTGAGTCGCTGATATCCGCGACCAACAACACATCGCGATTGCGAAGGAAGAATGGTTTCATGAGTCTGTGTGCACCAGCCTTCGCACAGGTGAAGTCTTACATCTGACCGAAAGGCCAGTTAGTAGTTACAAAAGCCGAATATGGTAACGGAAGCCGATCATCTCGCATGCACACATTCCCTTCGCACCGCCACACAACCCACCGACCATAATTATTCGCCCGTTTTCTCATGACGCTCATTTTCCACGGCACGCTCTCAACACCTCGTGGGTCAAGAAGGCCAAATTTGGTTCATCCTTCCTAGTGTTGGTTGGGTGTCCCAAAAACGCCTGTGATTTTCCCGAGTTTATAACACCTCGTCTAGCAACTCCCAACCAACCTTCCTAAGGACGCTTCAACTCCTGCAAAAAACGGCGATCGATCCTGCGCAGGATCGAATTTTGACTGGGTTTGAGAAGGTTCCAACACATTTTAAACGTGAAGGCGGGATTTCAGTTCGGTGGACGATCGATATTGAACGATCGATCGCCGTTTTTTGCAGGAGTTGACGCGTCCTAAGGTTGAATATCTTGGCCTAGGATCTTGCCACTCGGTCCATTCCCCTCTCTCTGAACTTCCGCGACGTCGAGCTTGCAGCTTTGGGTCAGATCAAAGCTCGCCGCGCACGATTTCCGGGTCTAACTTGAGTCCCTTGCGTTGTGAATCGCGCGAGTCCCAGGTGTTTCTCCCAGCTCCTGTGGCAGCGAGGCAGTGCGATCGATTGTAGAGTGCGAATCTGCACGATCCACACGATGGCATCAGCTACGAAAGCGCTCCACCTCTCCCCCGTCGCCACCTCTGCGCATCAACGTCCCTCCCCCTCTTCCTCCCTCCCCGCCCCCGCGTCCCGCGTCTCCGCCGTCTCCCTCTGCTCCCGCCCAGTCCTTCCCTCCCGCTTCCGCCGCAGCAGCCGTCTCCCAGTAGCGATCGGGACTGCATCAAAGGCGTCTCATGGCACTCGAAGATTCCGGTGCGAGGCTGCGAGCAGCGGCGACGCGACGTCGCCCTCCTCCTCGTCGTCGCCTCCAGAACCGGCGGCCACGGCAACCCCAGCAGCAGCGGCGGGCGGAGCGAAGAGCCACGCGTTCATCCACGACTTCTGCTTCGGCATCACATTCGGTGAGCGCCGCTTGCCGCCTCAGCAGCCCCAGCTGTCTCGGCGGGCCAGCTGCGAGTCTCAAGTGTGGCAGCCATCACACGCACACTTGGCAACTGCTCAAGTGCGGTGGGCACACACACTCAGGCGCCAGCAGCCGCCTCGCTCGGCGTCATTTTCTTCCAAATGTTGGGTCCACACTTCACCCCTCCCCCTCACACCTTTCCAGCCCGTCTGACCTCTACATCAATTCGGGACGTTGTTGAGAAGTCTCTGTTGTCGTACGGTGGAAATATCATCAGTGCGCATGTCACCTGTCGTCGTGTCTAACCATACGCAGGAGTACGAGTTTGGTCGCCACCCTTCCCACTCTCCCCTTCTCCCCCTCTCCTCTTTTTCCGTTCTCCGGTTCTCCTTCTCCCGCCTTCTTTCCCTCTCCCCTTCTCCCCCTACTACAGGAGCGGCAGCGGCAGTGGCGGGCGTGGCGTGGTTTCTGCTCACCAAGAGCGCGGACGCCCTGCGATTCATTCCGCCGTACACCTACCCCTTCCCCCTTCGCTTCCCCCCTTGTCGTTTCCCTCACCACAGGTGCGGCAGCGGCAGTGGCGGGCGTGGCGTGGTTCCTGATCACCAAGAGCGCGGACGCCCTGCGCGTGACAGCGCTGTTCGGGGCCACCATTGCGCTGGGCGGCGTGGGCAGCCTGAGGGCGTGGCGCAAGGGGCAGTCCAGCACGCCCTACATCCTCGGGCAAGCAGGTATGCGCAGGGAAACGCAAGGGAGGAGGCGTGAGGAGAAGGCGTGAAAGCTGAGTGGTGGAGCCGTGAGGGGCGTGGGCAGCCTGAGGGCGTGGCGCAAGGGGCAGTCCAGCACGCCCTACATCCTCGGGCAAGCAGGTGCGTGCCCACCATGCACATCTGTACACATGCATGCTTATGCCAACCGTGCACATGCATGCACGCATACACATAGCACGTGAATACCCACCGATACACCCCACCCACCAACAAGCACACACACATACGACTACACTCTCCCATTCTCATTCCTACACAAACCCCTCCTTCCCCTACCTTTTCAACGCTCACCCCACCACATAGCACACCAGCTTCCACACATTGTCACCTCATCTGCAATTTTCCTTCCCCTACCCGCCATGCATATCACCCCATGCAGTGCTCGCTGCTGTCTTGGCATACCAGGCTTTCGTGCGCCTGCAAGTGGTAAGCCCTCTGATAGCCTTCTAAACAGCCCTATTAGCATCCTTTCAGAACCCCTTGCTCGTGTCCGCTGTCGTTTCTTCATCCGCCTTTCTTTGAGTCTGCCACATGCCGCAACTTAACCGCACCTCCACCTGCCTGTTGTGTCGGATTCTTGTCCTCAAGCCTTTTCGCTGCTGCGTTTGCCTGCACTGCACTGCTCCCTATCTGACTGCTCCCTCTGACTGCTCTCTCTGACTGCTCCCAACTGCTCCCTCTGACTGCTCCCCACGACCTGCATAACCTTGTCATTTTAACTGCACATACCTTTCATTCTTAGCCATTCCTTGCGGATGCAATAATGAGCTGTGGGCTCTGCTTTCCGTCCATTCAGTTGCTTGCGCGTGGCTCTGATTTCCCATGTGTGCACATTCTTACCTATGTGTAAATCTGATCCTGTGTGCACGCACGTGCTTTGTATTGTTCTGCAGACGGGTGCTATTTTCCCGTTGGGTCTTGGCGTGGCGGTCAGGTGAGCAGGGTGGGAAGATCAGCATACATCCTTGAAACGACTCACCTTTGCCCTATCCTTCGTGCAAATCATCGCTTGCATCTGCCCTCAAAGCGGCTGTTCTTTTCTTTTCTTTTCTTCTGGTCGCTGCATGTCACTAGCAGTGCACACCGCATGAGATCAGGCACTAAGAGAGTGTGAAAGGAACCCCATTTGAATCAAGCCACTGCTTTTCCTTCCCTACCCCCTTTCCCCTTCACCTCCACCCCCTCCCCCCCCCCTTCCCCCCATATTTCTTTGCGTCGCTCTCAGTGCTGCCATGGTGCTGTTTTACATCTACGTGATCCTGGCGGGCGGCAATCCTCCCCCTAAGAAGAAGGCAGCAACTGCTGCTGCTTAGGACTAGTGCATTTGAGGGGGCTCGGCACTAGCCCCTGTTCCTACGGCCCTCAAACCATGTGAATCCTCTTCCTCCCTCGTTGTTTGGGTTACCGCTACTCCAAGCGTTACGGTTGGGGTTTTAAGATGCTACACTTGGGATGGGAGACATACGTTACCAAAGTTTTTTTATGTCACCGCTAGTGGCCACACCAGTGCATACATCCGTGCATTTTGCATGCATGGAATGGAGGTAGGTACAAGATTAGTTAAGTGAAAGATCAGATAACTGCAAGCTGGCAGGCCTGGTTGTGCGTTAGTGAAAGTCAGTTCAATTCATTGCGGATGCAGGGAGAGTTGAAAGTTGATTTTAAAAATCTGTCAATACTAGCGGCGTAAGTGTGCGCGACAACTAAATCACGCCATACGAGAGATTCTCGACAGCTGTCGTTGAATTCGTCGACGAGTTGGCGGCCAGTCGACGAAACGGGGGAACATAGTAACCAATCGAACCGCCCGCCACCAGCACCAGCTCCCGTGCTTCCACCCCACCACACGCTTCCGCTCCACGCCCCTCACAATCCCAAGTGCCTTCTACGGAATGTGTAAGCTTGATTCCCCTCGCGTTAGCTAGCTTCCCCTCTCACAGATATGTCCGTTCCAATCAGCGCCTTCTACCCCCACCACGTATTCCCCCTACCCCAGTCTGTATCATGTCGGAGCGTGGTCTACACGTCAGAGTACCGACCGAGTCCGCGCGCAGTCATTGGCCATGGCGGCTCGAGCAAGTCGCAAACCGCACTCGTGTCCTAGTGCCACTGGAAATCCGACCTTCCGTGTTTCGAACTCGGCGATTCGGAGAGCAAAGGCCTATAAATGAGGCGCTAAGCCTCACCACAGTCATCACAGCTTCCGTATTCGCTTCCCCCATTCTCCCTTTGATCGCGCATACCTACCACAGCGCTCCTCACAGCATAAGTTCTCGACTGTGCTTCGCGCTTCACACCTTCGCATCCGCGTGCAAGCTCGGCTTTTCATTGCTGCTACTTTCTTCCAAGGCGATCACTGAGATCTGACGGAGATCGGAGAACCAAACCAGTTTCCTATGGCTGCTACTTGTACCAATGCGGGGCTCCGCGGAGCGCGCAACCTGCTTCTCCTTCCGCTCGCCTTCCTGCTGCTCCTCGCCGTCACCAGCGCCAGCGCCGCGCAGCCCGTCCTTCACCCCCCCTCCACCACCGGCTCACCGCGCAACATCGCCCGCCGTGCTCTCGCCCGCGCGGATTCCGCGGTATCCCCGCACAGGGTGGAGCGGAAGCTGTTCAGCTGGGACGGCGTGACCGTCGATCAGATCATTGCCGGCAGCCTGGGCACGATCGACGGTCCAGAGGACGACGAGGTGACGACGAAGATCGTGGATCTATTCATGAACGCGGGGTACAACGTGATGGTCATTCAGAGCGCCCACTCCGTGCAGGGCGACCCGGCGTCCGCGCAGGTGGAGGTGTGGCACTTCTGGGATAACTCCGAGTTCACCGTCTATTACAAGAAGGGACCCTTCTCCGTGGAGAATCTTGGCAATGGTGGGTACGAGAACTGGGCGTTCGGAGGCGTCTGGCAGCGATACGGTGCGGATGAGAAGGTTGTTGTGTTCTCCTGATTGATTTGTTACTGGTGTTCCATTGTTGCTAGAGCCTGGGGGTGAGTTCAGGCAAACCACTAGCAGATGTGACTAGGTGTTGAGCTGATGCTGCGTGTTGGTGGTGTGCTTGTTGCTGATAAGTCAGACTGTCTTATGTCCATCTTACTGGCTTCCTTTCCAGTGTGCACATGGTGCATGCATCCAAACGATGGTCTGGTGCATGTAGTTACTCCATATGGTATTATGTGCCTTCATGAATTTCTACTCATACCAGTATTATCATTTGCACACTAAACAGGGTGAGACACTCCCGAGTGCCTGAGCCCTCAGCCTCAGGCCAAGACCTCCGAACCAAGCCTCTGGATAGGTTTGGAAGCACTCTTAGTCGAAAGGGTAGGTTGCCAAAGCTGGTCTTTCAGTAAGGGTGGGGCAGCCATGTCAGTCTTGTGTATCAGTGTTGGCTGCATTGTTACTCATGCTCGTCAGTGTACTGTGGACCTCGGTTAGTTGTACCTTTTTTTTTAACCAACGCTTAATGTTTAGGTTGACATGACGTGCAAAGAACAATAAAATAAATGACTATACTAGAACAACAACAGGACCTACTGTCAAATGTTGTAGCCTGTAGTGAGGTTTGTCTTAGGGGGTACAGAAGTTAGGGTTTGTTATATGTACCCCAACCAACATCAATGGAACGATTCATTCCTCATTTTGACATGGTATCAGCTAGGTTAGGATCCTGTGGGATTCCGTTCCTCCGTTCTCCGTTCGTACCTCCCGAGCCTGATCCTACCTCTCGTTCGTACCAGTTCCGTTGTTACCGCGCCTAGTACCGAGCCTAGCGCCCTTTCCCCCGTCGCTTAGCGCCCTTTCTCCCCGTCGCCTCGCGCCCTTTCCCCTCCCCCCCGTCGCGTCGCGCCCTTTCCCCCCGTCGCGTCACGCCCTTTCCCCCCCGTCGCGTCGCGCCCGTTCCCCCCGTCGCGTCGTGCCCGCCTGTTCCCCCCCAGTCCCGTCGCCCTGTCCCGTCGCGTCACCCTACCCCGTTGCGTCGCCCTGCCCCGTCTCGTCGCCCTGCCCCGTCGCGCCGCCCTGCCCCGTCGCGTCGCCCTGTGCCGTCGCGTCGCCCTGCCCCGTCGCGTCGCTCCCGCCCTTTCCCCGTCGCGTCGCCCTGCCCTACGCCCTGGCCCGTCGCCCTACCCTAGGCCCTGGCCCGTCGCCCTACCCTAGGCCCTGGCCCGTCGCCCTACCCTAGGCCCTGGCCCGTCGCCCTACCCTAGGCCCTGGCCCGTCGCCCTACCCTAAGCCCTGGCCGGTCGCCCTACCCTAGGCCCTGGCCCGTCGCCCTACCCTAGGCTCTGGCCCGTTGCCCTCCCTACGTCCTGGCCCGTCGCCCTAGCCCGCTCTTCCGCTGCAACTGAGTCCTCTTCCCCCCCGGTTCTTACTCGCCTGTTCGTTCGCTTTAGTTCTCACTATGGCGACTCCGCGAGTTCTTCGTTTCGACGCTGACGGTAGACCATTTGACTTTTCCGTCTGGCTTCTTCGCGCTCGCCGCCTGTTAGAGAGTTAGGTCCAGGGGGGCGAGACCCTCTGGTCACACGCTACTGGTGACCTCCCCGAGCCCCCCGAGCCTACAGCTTTAGGCCCTGCTCCTGACGACGCTGCTACGGCTCACTTTGCCCGTCAGCGCGCTGACCGGACGGCTTGGACGTCGCGTGACGCTGCGGCCTGCATCGCACTCAGCAGCCTCCTCCCTGAGTCTGAGGAGGTCCACTTTACTCAGGTTCGCACCGCTGCTGCGTACCTCACTGCGATTAAGGCCCGCTACTCTACTCCCGCTACTGTCTCTCTTGGCCGTCTTTTCCTCCCGCTCCTGTTTCCTGATCTTGCCTCGTTTGAGCGCTCTGCTGACTTGATCGCTCACCTCCGCTCGCTCGACGCTAGTTACCGCGCTGCTTGCACTGAGGCACAGCTTGCACTGCTTCCTCCCCCCATGGCGATAACTGTCTATTTCATCGCCACTAGCCTCCCTGACCGCCTTGCCTCCGTTCGTGACGCGCTTCTGCTGAAGCACCCTAGTGAGCTGACTATCGAGGTCCTTGAGTCTGCACTCAAGGACGTCGAGAGCAACCTTCGTTCGGTAGCTGCCGCCTCTGGTACTGTGTCCCCCCCACTCTTCCACGGGTGCACAGTCCCGCAGTTACCCACCTTCACTGCCTCTCTTGCCACTGCCGCTACTGACGCGACTGCGGCTGCTGTTACGACTGCGTCGCGGTCCCGCGGCAGGGGGGGCAAGAAAGGTGGTTCCGGTGGAGGTGGAGGCGGAGGTAGCGGAGGTAGTGGGGGTGCTGTTGCGACTGGCGGTGGTGGGAGTGCAGCGTCTGGAGAGACCCCTCGTGCAGCGGCTGGTGACTCCACTGCACCTGCTGGTGGCGGCGACCCCCGAGCTCGTCAGTCGCCTCCTGTACTGCCGGCCCCGCTAGGTGGAGCAGCGGCGTGGTACCAGGCTCAGCGTCAGCAGCACCTTCAGCAGCAGCAGCAGCCCCTTTCCTCCCAGCAGCCTCAGCAGCAGCAGCGTCAGCAGCTGGCTCCGGGGTCGGGGCTGCGTCAGCCCCAGCGCGGTACTGCTTACCCTCCCTGCCCCTACCAGGTTCAGACAGGTCCTCGTCGGGGCCACCCTTGTGGCCGCTTTCACCCCCCTGGTCAGTGCTTTGCTCAGCTCACTGACACGGTCCGGTTGACCTACGGGGTTGGCGGTCCTGCTCCTGACTGGCTTCCTCTGGTTCAGCGCTACGGCTCCGCTCTGTGGGGCATGTCTGCTGAGCAGTTAGTTGATCTGATTAGTGCTCCTCATGCTATGTATGCTGTTGTTGACTCTAGTGTTTCTGACTCTGTTTACTCTGGTGTTGTTAGCTTAGGTGCTAGTCTTGCTCAGTTGCCTGTTGCTAGTGTAGGTACTTGTGTAGACTCTAGACCAGCGACTACCTCAGACGACGCTTCGCTGTCGTTCACACTGGACTCTGGAGCCTCCCACTGCTTCTTCCGGGACAGCACGACACTTACACCACTTCCTGCGCCTGTTTTTGTAGCGTTGGCTGATCCCACTACGGGACCAGTCACTGCACGTCACACTACCACTTTACCGTGTCCTGCTGCTCCCTCCGGGTCTCTCACTGGGTTTCACGTCCCCTCGTTCTCCCGGAACTTGGTGGGCGTGCGACCCCTCGTGAGTCAGCACGTGGGTGTGTGGTTTGAGCCTTCTGGAGAGACTGCGGTGTGTGTTGACGGAGACTCTTACCAGCCTCTTGCTACCTTTACTGCTGAGCCGGGCTCGGGTCTCTACACTCTTCACACTAGCCCGCGTGCGCCGCAGCAGCAGCCGCAGCAGCAGCAGCAGCCCCAGCCGCAGCAGCAGCAGCAGCAGCAGCAGCAGCACCAGCGGCCGCACCAGCAGCCCCACCTACTACCACTGCCCCCGGTTCCCCCCCCCGTTCGGGTCCCCGCGTCTCACCAGGTTGCTTCGTCCCCCCAGGTGTCTGTGTCGTGTCAGGTTCCTACGTCTGTTCCAGTCGCTGCGTCGTGCTCCAGCCGGTCGCTTGCCCACCCCACCGTTCTGTGGCACCACCGGATGGGGCACTCGTCCCTTCCTCGTCTGCGCGCTATGTCTGGTCAGCGTCTTGTCCTAGGCCTCCCACGTGTCTTGCCGTCGCTGCCGCCTTCGCTTGCGCCGCCGTGTCGTCCCTGCGTCGAGGGTAGGCTGCGCGCCACCCCTCACTCCTCCTCCCTTCGTCCGGCCACCGAGCCTTTTGAGACGCTTCACTTGGACGTCTGGGGCCCCGCCCTTCGTCTAGGCCCTGAGCGTGAGCGTTACTTTCTGGTGGTCGTTGACGACTTCTCCCGCTACACCACAGTGTTCCCTCTGGCGAAGAAGTCTGAGGTGAATTCTACGCTGATCAGGTGGTTGCTCACCACCGAGGACACTCGTGGTCGTCGTGTCAGCTGTCTCCACTCCGACCGTGGGGGTGAGTTTCGCTCCGGCATTCTCGCTGGATTCTGTCGCGAGCAGGGCATTCGTCAGTCCTGGACGCTTCCAGAGTCCCCACAGCAGAATGGGGTTGCTGAGCGCCGCATAGGCCTGGTCATGGAGATCGCCCGCACCTCCCTGACTCACGCCTGTGCCCCCCATTTTCTGTGGCCCTACGCGGTCAGGTACGCCGCGCACCAGCTGAACCTCTGGCCACGTGTCTCTCGACCAGAGGTTTCACCGACCAGTCTTTGGACAGGGTCCCCTGGTGTTGCGTCGCGGTTTCGTGTCTGGGGGTGCTTGGCTCTTGTCCGCGACACCTCCGCGGACAAGCTCTCGCCTCGTGCCGTCCCCTGTGTCTTCCTTGGTTTCCCTGAGGACTCCTCTGACTTCACCTTTTACCACCCTCCCTCTCACCGGTTCTTTGACTCCCGTGACGTCCGTTTCGAGGAGTCCACTCCGTACTACGTCAGGTACCCCAGTCGAGGTCTCCCGGTTCCTCCTCCCCCCCTCTTCCTGACTGCCGCTCCCCCTCCTGCTCCCCCGGTACAGCCTCCCCCCCCTGGCCCAGCCCCGTCAGGTGTGTCCCAGGCTACCCCTCCTCCTTCGGTAGCCCCTCCGGTACAGCCTCCCTCCCCACAGTCCTCCTCGCAGCGTGCCGCTGGTGCTAGCTCTCGAGAGGTTGGAGCTGCGCCTGTTCCTGTACCGGTTTCTGGTTCTGGGGGTGCTGGTGTTGGAGCTGGTGTTGGAGCTGTAGGTGGAGCTGGTGTTGGAGCAGGAGGTGGAGCTGGAGGAGGCACTGGAGTTTTTGGTTCTGGGGGTGCTGGAGTTGGAGCTGGAGTTTCTGGTTCTGGAGTTGGAGCTGACCCGGTGGGTGCAGAGGACTCTTGTCGTCCGGGAGCTGGTGTTGGTCGCACGGACACTGGGGGTGAGAGTGCGCCTCCTTCGGGTTCTGGTGAGCCTGGGTCTGGAGCTGGTGTTAGTGCTGCCTCTGGGGGTGGTGCGCCTGGTTCTTCGGGGGTGGACTCTGGAGCTACCGCTGCTTCGGACACAACTCCGCCCCCCCACCCCTACCCGACTAGGCACCAGGCTCGTGTTCGCCGTGCCCGTGACGAGCAGCTGGCGTTGGAGAGAGAGGAGAGGGAGTTACAGCGGCTGGAGGAGCAGCAGCAGCAGCTGGAGCCGCAGGAGCAGCATCAGCAGCAGCAGCAGCTGGACCCGCAGGAGCAGCAGTCCCAGCAGCAGCCGCGTCCGCAGCAGCAGCAGTCGAAGCAGCAGCAGCAGCAGCCACTTCCTCCTCCTGTCTCGGGTCTTCGGGCCCTTGGTCTCCCCTCCCCTTCTCCTCCCTCCTCCGCCTCTCCTCCTGTCTACGGTCCCACGTTTCCTCCGCCTGACTCCTCC